TAAGTAAACTAATAAGCAAGTTTTAAGCTATTACCGACAAAGGCATGGAGCTCTAGGGTTGCCATTTCTGCCTAATTAGACGTCGTCAGCTAGTGATACCCACCTCCAGTGTTACCGCTGAAATTGCTGCCACACTCGAGTTTCGAAAATGCGACCTCTCTGACCAGAGTCAAATGCTCTAAACAATGAGCTATGGGTCCGCTGTCTTGTCGGTTTTAGATCGGGAATATACAGTGGTAGATAATAATACACTGATCCGTTTCCGGATGTACCCATCCTGGTTGATGCCATTGCAAGCTTGGACAACTCCAAGTGTGTTTCGCAAGGTGACTAATTGTTATGTTACTTACTAAGTTTCAGTAATATATGTTTATGTTTTAAGATATTACCGACAAAGACGTGGGACCCTAGGAGTTGTCCAAGCCTGCAATGGCATCAACCCGGATGGGCTCGTCCTGAAATGGCTCGATGTATTATTATCTACTAATTAGCAAGTGTTCGTAGCTAAGATTCATATGACAATATTTAGACTACTGCTTGTGCGATTTTTAACGTCGTACTGGAAATCAGGTTTTCTTTTAATTTCCCATGATATTGTCCGGTCGTTGGTCCAGCAGTCATCAGTCGTCAATGTCCACGATCTCTTGGCTTATAGTGTCAAAACAGTATGTTTTTAAAGCTCTTATTGCTTATTGACAATTTTTTATCTGATAAGGAAATATATGTATCGCGTAATTCATAAGTCAGCAATTAACGCAAATTTCCAAGTAGGCTACTGGCGACGATAAAGTCTAACGGGTTCTATGCGCCTGCTCCTGGCACTGCATTCTCTTTGTCACATGTCAAAAATAACCGTAACACCGGCTTCCCAGACCTCAAAAAATCTATCATTTCGATCACTTCTATTTTCTTCCATGGAGAATGCCTTAGACGTCTGCACCTTTGTACGGTCACTGTGCGTTTAAAAGTCATTGGCATCATAATTCTTGTAGAAAAAGTTTATCCGTTTGAGTTTAGGGAGACAGGTTTGAAACTTCATACTTCTGGTAAATCTGGAGCGAACCTAAGTTTACTCCCCGTATAGTTATCTTACAAATACTTTGGGTAAACGTTCTAAACTTTTAGATCTATGGGTATTCGGTTATTAACTCAATCAAAATGCATTCATTAGGTAGGTTGCTCACTGCGACATTCAAGACCAAAGATAAATCGTTTACCATGGAGCCGAGGCTAACTCCCATTTCAAGGTTCAAGGACATCTTCCATACAAGAGACGAAGGCAACCGCGGGATTTCTGGGGTCCTAAAGGCTGACACTTCAGAAGATAGAAGGTAAGAGCTAACCGTTCGTCGCTATTAGTAGGATTGCACATTCCGAGTAAGAGAATTCTGTTCAGGCCGAAAGGTTTTCTGCACGTTATTTGAAAGCTAACCGTTCTTGTAAGCTACTTCGTCTTTAGTAATATTTTGCTGTTGTGAAGTTATTGCATCACGACAAATAGCGTCTTCTTATTTAATAAGATGAGCTAGGGGAAATAAAGGCGGCAAATTACAGCTAGAAGTATTTAGGACAATTGTGTGAGTTTCTCATCAACCATGATCTTTCTCAATTCAAATTGCTGCCGATTTCTAAGAACAAAGAGTTTCTAACGTATTTTCGAACACTGTTTACTATGATTTCGTCGTAAGACTTAAGTACCGCAGCACCGTCGCATGTCGTACGTAAACTAACTTGCCCTAAGGTAAAGCAAATAAATGCGTTGTGCGGAACATCCAAGTAATTCTGGGTTATCCTCTAGGTCAGATAATGCTTTCTTATTGGCAATTTCAAACTGCTTTTAGCGAAGAACTGACGCTGGACCTGAAGGATGAACCAAGGACAATTCTTCTCCCCTTGAAATTAACACCGCCCTTTATCTTCACGAAGTATATGTCGAGAAAACATGTAGGTATTCTCTTGTCCACCAAATCTGCCATAAACATTTAAGTTCATCATTTAGCGTGCCTCATGAAACATGCCTCACTTAACAAAAAATCGCTTATCAAACCCAAACCAGTCCAAATTCATCCGCCAAAACACAAGTCCAATAGAGAACAGTCCAGTTAAATTTAAAAAAAATCGGTTAGTCTATTATATTTAATACTACGGAAAACAAAACGCCATAATTACGTACTACGAGACTGCTGGTAATAGGGACTTTACGGGTGAGCATTACGGAAATTTAGGAGAGAAAGCAAGAGAAAAAGATCATACAAAACAGGAAATAGTAGTTAAAATATTATGAAAAGCTAATATATAGCAAAAGGGTGTGATAATTGAAAAATAAATCGAAATAATAAAATTAAATTGCCATTACTACCCGTCTCGTGGGACAGAATTCTGGAATATTTGTTTTTCTTGGTGTTACCTAAATAGACTGTCACATAAAAAATTAAAATAAGCAGTTACCATGCTATTCTCTGTTTTGGAAGTGGACCCGCCGATCGAGTTGTGGCACCGACTCGACTCATTGTGCTTTGGGGCCCAATATAACGACCTCGACGTTAGTTGCATAGCAAAAAACAAATATGACACAGGAAGAGTAGCTACAATGGCAAGGATGACCACTTATGGCATTTTAACCGTCATCAGAAAGCCTTACCGAATTTCAAGTCCTGCAAACCCAAGGTTGAATAAGATTGGTTGACGACGGCTAATAAGCCAGAAAAGACAAGTCCGGGCTTCCTTATGTTTTTCGAAAATCGCTAACTGATAAAATCCAAGGAATTTTGCAAGAAAATCCTTGGTAAGAAAAAGTGGCCCACAGTGCGTTCCAAAGTCTTAATATGTAAAAGTACACATCGTAATAAAAAAGAGGACATATTGTGGCTTTTCAAGTAATACGATGTGATAAACTAAAGGATTTTTGAGAAAAACAGAAATTTCAAGGAAGGGCATCCTTTGGAAAAATTAGGAAACTTTATCCAGTAAATTTTCGATAGTGGATCCCCGGGTCGTCTTCAGACTTGAGAAAATGGACAAAGAACAATTAACAGTTCAAAGTGCTCGTACAGTTATATGGTCGTTGAGTGTGGGCACTAATTGGTAGTTTCAATTTGCGTCATGCCGTGGTGGACATAATAAGCAGTCGCAATGGCGTATTGGATAATTGGCAACTGCAATTTGCGTCGGTCCGGGGTCAGTTCGGGTCATCCGATGTGGGCGCTAATTGCAGTTCATGTTGTACCATAGTTATCGGCTGTAATCTCTTGCGCCTTTCTTTGAGACGTTTGTAAGCTCCATCCAACTCGATACCCCGGTTGATGCATGAAATGCTTGGCCTTTTTGGAGGGGAAAACCCTGACGATGCGTGTTTTGTCCCGTGTGTCCTGTGTCAAGGCAACGCATAGCCACTTCAAACAAAGAGTCACGTCTCTTCACTGCAACCTGGTGCTCGTGGATACGTGTGGAGATGGATCTTCCTGTTTGGCCACATCATACCGTATCACAAGCTTCGCATAGGATTTTGCAAATAACTTCTTTGTTATCGAGGTAGCCAACCCTATCTTTAAGGTGTACTAGTTGGGTGCGTAAAGTAACCATGGGTTTGTGTGCCACTTTATCTAGCGTTTCCGCAAGTGCCTTTCAACGAGTTCAGACACATTCCTTATATAAAGAAGGATTCGCCGTGAGTTTGTTTTGGGCGCCTGAGTGGGACTATCTGATTCCCTTTTATTGGATTGTTGTTTTCTCATGCATCGGCATACAAAGTCTCCGGGGTAACCACTGTGGGAAAATAAATCAAACAGATAATTAGGCTCTATTCGGTAGGTTTCCTCGTCAGAGCAGTGTGTCTTCGCTCGGCGTAGCAGACTGTTGACGGCACTCC